ATATATATATATATATATATATATATATATATATATATATATATATATATATATATTTTCTTAATACATTACTGTTTCTGATGGCCACAACTGGGTGTTAATAATTTCTTTGCCTCAGAAATTAAATATTGCTGCATCACTAGTACCCGCAGAAAATACTTACAGTTGCCTAATTACAAAGCAATCTAATACACAAGTTACTGATACTAGGGTCTCTATTTCTGGTTGTTAGCAATCATTTCACTCAGAAAGGAGATAGGTTGAAATAATTAAATAGTGAATTACTGAAAGTTAGTCCTTTCTATGGAAAAACAATGTGTAAACCTTAAAAATGTACACTGATCATTCTTTTGATGCAAAATTTACTGCTTGGACATTAACAAGCTTTTTTCTCTCACAGAAGAACCTTAGTGAACAGGAGCTTCACTTCATTACCAAAATCCTGTCCATTGGCTTGGTGGATGCTGACCCCAACACTCTTCACCACCTCAAGGAATACAGAGATCTGCAAGGAAGTTCAACTTGAATTTGACATCCACAACCATAAGCATAGGCCAGGCAGCATCCTTAGAGACATTTGCTTCTCCATCTGTGTCTGGATGGAAAAACTGGGAGAAAAAACTTGCCTAACGTTTTCAAGTTTTCAACTGTATGGCCGCTACCAAAGATATTTTACTAAAATAATACAAATTTGTTAAGAAATTGGAGCAACTGGCAATTTAGCATTTAATGTTTTAAAGGGAAATTTTACAGATGTTTTGAAATTTCTGAATAATTAAATTGTAAAGATATAAACAAAGTTATCAGACTGGTTTGATGTGAAATAGTCCATTCTAGAGAATCTTACCAGGGCAGAATTCTTTACAGCAGTGGTAAGGCACACAAGACATCTGAACAGTTTAATGTCTCTAAAAGCTATAATATGTTATTATAGTAAAATGATTACAAACACACTGGCTAAAGCCAAAGACATTGATTTGCATAGTTTTGCAAGAAAGTTTTGGCTTAAAACCTACTTTTTTAAAATCTGTTCATACTGGAAAGGTACATGCAAGGCTTTGTGAGGCAAAATAGTCTCCAAAGAAAACGAATTTAATTTTAATTTACTTCTATTTTATCTTCAACATTACATAGAAAAGCTTAGAAGAAATGTAAGAGTTCACTAGTCGTTTTAGATTGTAAATAAAATGGCTATAATTGTGTTATAGACATTGCAACCCCCTGGTTCCTAATACCATCACTGTAAAAAATAATTTTGAGTCGGTAGGTTTCTCTACAATGAAACATTTCACATCAAACCACACTGAATGGCTTTGCTTACATCTCAACACATGAAATATGCAGACATGTTAGTGGAATTTCTCCTTAAGTCAACTTGAAAACAAAATTGAATGTTTTTACCTGGTAGGTTCATGTGTCTAGTCATTTAAAGCACCATATCATATAATTTAAAAGACAGAATTCTTGTTTTCTGATCTTCCATGAAAATGTAATGCATGTTTTGTGCCTGTTCCATGTCTTCAGCAGTTTAAAGTATTAACCAATAGTATTATATCTTCCTCCCACCACCCCACCTATGATCCTGACGCTTACTGATGATGTGTTTCATTTGGAATGCTGTGGAAGGAAAATGTGTTAAGGTTTCCAATTCATTTTGGCATTTAGCCCTTAAATTCTCATGCTTCTTAAATCTTACAGTACTATTCACATGGGATTAGTTTTACAAGTAGAGATGAGGTAATGTAATTATTACTGCTTTTTCTCAGTGATTTTTGTCATGTCTGAATCCACCATGTCATCGCAAAATGTACTTGTTTATTAAACAAAATAACAAAATTCTCTTACTAACAAAAGACAACTGAGCCACTAATTGATTCACTTATTAAAACTGACTTTCACAAAACATATGTCATGGCTATAATACATTATCATGTCCCAGTAAACTTATATTTTAATATATTTTATAATTATGTTTTTATTTTATTAAACATATATTTTGAACCTGCTGATTCATTGGGTTCCACCAATGTCCTTATACTACAAAGGAAGCAGAAACTGTTCACTGGTTAAAAAATTAACAATAGCCATATCACTCAACTCAGCCAATAGTCTTGTTGGTAAAGGCCCCCCTTTTGCCTGGAATATGCACATGCGAAGAAGCCAGAATAACCCAAAAAAAGGTTTTTGTGCATTTTACGAACCAAATGCTACAAACTACTTGTGTGTTTTTTGTCAGAATTCACCAGTGTTTTTAAATATGCTTTTGAAATGTTAACATGGTTTTCAGGTTCAAGTTTAGGTTTCTCCCCATTTAAAGAGATAGGTGCCTCATTTTAAATTAGTGAAAATAACTTCCCCCTTATAGTGTCTTTGGGTAGTAACTACATGGACAGTGCAAACTGACTGAGTTATAGGAGTGAGGAATGGAAGTCTGAACCTGTCATCAGTTTGTTGGAACAATGGCCTAGAAACAACACTTTTGATTCATGAATAAATTTAAAACACTCTATTGAAAGACTGGGGAAGGCATCACTCAAAAAAAAAACTTTTCCACTTTTAATTTTGTAGATGTTTAACAGTGTATCTTAAAGCCCTTTCACTGCTTTTTATGCAAAATTTAACAGATTTTCATGAAAAATGATGTTCTGTTGTGTAATGTTCTAAATATGTTCTACTGTTCTGTTTATCACAATTTAATAATCTCTAATAAAGTGATAGAATGGGCCATCTCAACAAATCACCAGCAACATTTTAATTACCACCTCACACACACACACACACAAAACACACAAAGAATGTGTGCTTTCTGGGAGAATCCAATACATTTGCATAGGAAACCACTCTGTACTGGTACAACTGAATGTTTCCCTTAAATTGTCCTTTTTTGTCGTTTGGTGTGCCTTTCACACTTACCTTTAAACACACACACACACAAACATGTATGCATGCATGACCACATGCGCACACACACACACACACACACACACACACACACACACACACACACACACAAGCTATAGATATATATTCCAAGCAGAACATAGTTACTCGATTCTTTCTTTTACACACACACACACACACACACACACACACACACACACACACACACACACACACTATACACACACTCCCTATCCTTGTTTTATTGTTGTATGAGGTCATTATGATGCACATGTGTGCTTATGTAGTGTGTGTGTGTGTGTTCGAAGGTATGAGCATAAAAAAAAGAAAGGTTTTTATGGAAATTGTCAGTTGAGACAAGAGATCTCCTCTTGACCTCAGGTACTTCTAGACACAGTTAAGTTTCCTTCATCACCAGACCTTCTCACAAATAAATGCTGATGTTACTCTCCTCTTTCCTCCTAAGAAGGGTTTAGGAAAAACAATTTAGAAATCAGTTATCCTACATTAATATAATATCGAGATCTGCTTTATCGTTCTGAGACAATCTCAAGAAAGATGTTTTTCCCTCTGGGTTAAGCCATTTTCTCCTGTTTCTGAAATTTAGCTCCTGAGAAATAACCCTTAGATTTTCTCACTTTGATCAAAATGTTGTCACATTCTTTTGTGTCTCACTCATCTCACCCCAGTCTCAGCTGAATAAGATTTGCCTAAAAAAGATCTTATTGTTTTCTTATACATTGCTCTATTCTATATCATAGAACTCGTTCAGCGTAGAAGGACAACTCATGCTTTTCCTCTTTTGTCATCAGACCTTCTCACAGTGAAATGCTGATGTTAGTCTTCTCTTTTCTCCTAAGGGGGTTTAGGAGAAATGATTCAGAAATCAGTGACCCTTCATTAATACAATATTGAGATCTGATTTATTTCTCTGAGACAATCGTAAGAAAGATCTTTTCCTCTGGCAATGCAGAGAGGCTTCATAATCAAATATATTGGATTCTTTTAAACAGCACACATTATTTGAAAAATAGACCTACAGTGGTGTCCAAAAGTCTGAGACCACCATTGAAAATGCATTTATTTTGCATTCTTTTCTATATGGATACAAAATATTTACTACAAACCATTTTATCATCATCACAATTTTTCTGAATTCCATGGTATTTAGTAGGTCCACCTTTTGCTTTAATGACTGCATGGACTCAAGAAAGCAAAACCATTAGGTTTTAATCCTAAAGGTACTAATGGTCTTTTTTTCAGGAGAGTAAACTTACTACATTCTTGCCTAGTTGCTATTTCCATGGCCAGAAATAAATGCACCTGTGCTAATGTGAGTGAAGTGGTACAACAGGGGGTTTGACGTTAGAAATCAGTGGAGCAGTGGTTTTTCAAACCCACTTCGTCCAAAATTGTGCTCCTAAGACCTACTCTTAGCACAGACATAAAGCCCAAATCATATTTTTGCTAACTTCAAGAGGAGGCTTAAAAGTCAATCACATTTTGATTTTCAAATCACAAGAGCCACAACTTCAATTATATTTTACATTGTTTAACGTTGTCTTAGCAATTTTATGTGTGGACATTTAACCAAATAATGCAGAACTGGCAGTCTTGCATGCTACATTCAAGCCTTAAGTCTGAAAAAAAATGTATATGCTCATTTTTTTGGGGACAAACAAGGTCTGGAGCTTACATTTTAGAAAACAATTGCTTTTAAAATGAATACTTTTTCTATGGAAATCACAATTTGAATGGTGCAATTTTCAAATTGCAAGAACTGCATTGTTAATCATAATCTACATTATCAACAATGCTGCCTTAATAAGCGGAGAAATTTAACCTAAAAACACAGAGCTTGTAAACTGCTTGTGCATGAGTTTGACAAATCATACACAGCCAAACACCTATGTGTGTTGTACATGATACCACAATGACAACTAAGTTGCAGTGTGGCACAGTGTTCAGTGTTAAAGCCTCAAGCCAGAAAAAGTTGATGCACTGGTCTTCATGGCCAAAACATTGGCCTGAACCTTATTTTACAGAAAACAATCATATTCAAAATGCCTTCACAGTATCTGTCAGAAAACTGTTTAGCCCTAGCACCTCATGCCAACAGCGTGAGCTTGCGTCTTGTTTTTAGATTTACCTGATAATCACGGAAATAGGGCCCATACACTTTAAAATGTTAAAAATAAATCATAAAATATTGTTTCCCTCCAGTTCCTCAGGCCTTGCTCTTTATTCTGTGATAATGATGCTTACCCCAGATTTTGAAGTTCAAAATTTGTCCCAATAATTACAGCATAATCCCCGCACATATGTTGGATACGAAGCAGACTATCAAGCCAGTTGTACTGAACAGACACAGTAAGGATACACCCAAATGCCAACACTCATGTACACCCATATTACCCTGTGGGGAAAAAAAAAAACAAAACAGAAGCCTGCAGACCAGCTCTATCATATATACAATTTGCCAGTATACAGTGATAGTCTGTAAGTCTTTTAGGAATTAACTAAGGGGTGCTGGGGTGATGGCATTACAGAGACATAACATGTCATGTTATAATTACAGTGTTATATATTTTAAATTTCAGAAAACAGCAAGTTATCCAATACTTGAAACATGTATTCCTTTTATGTAACAGCTATGGGTACTTCAGAGCAAGTAATACAAAGGCACAATGTATGCATCCTTAGCATGTTTTTGCAATAATTAAGCATAATAAATAATGTACATAAAGTTTATAAAAGTATATAAGTTGTTTTAAATAGCACATTACAAATCATATATAAAATATAGATGTCTAACAGGTTGTTTGCAGTCACATCATTCCAATGACGCACGAAATCCAGATGGAGGGCAGGAACTGAAAAGCAGAATGGACGAGAAGGTGGCAAGCTTGTACTGTGGTAGTTTAAACAATATTACAAGAGAAATGTATGGACAGAAGGTCACAACATATGTTGGATGTGATTCTCAGTTTATACTTTTTTTCTCATAATATCATCTAAACAGAAAATCACAGCATATGTTGGACGTGATCTTTATGTTATGAAAAGGGACAATATTTCAACTGAATTGAAAGACTTGCCTGCTACTGAGGCAGCAGAAATAAGCAGGTGTCTTGTCCTCCAGACATCCTTCTACTCATGAAAACAAATGGCCTCTTTTGAACAGGGCCATAACCAGGATCAGAATTTTAGTGAGGTCCATTTTGCGTAAATGTGATCTACATGTCATAGTGAATAAAATAACTGTGAAATATGAGAATTACACCTACTGTAAGTTTCTCCTTTAGTTTTTTTTTTTTTTAACAAAATCATTCCTTTTTACACATTCATAACTGTTCTACACCTTTTGTTTGATCCTCCCCATTCCTCCATCCTTCCATGAACTGCTGTTACTGTTCCATTAACTGATTGACTCCAACCCTGTTTAAGTTTATTTAATTAATAATTTAACTATTTATTTATATGTTCCTTTACAACTGAAAATATGAGCTACTCATACAGTGAATGCAACAAAATACAGTCTAATGTACCTGCTGATTTCTTAACAATGTGAGCTACATGATACTACACCATAAATATGCTGTTTAACAGTGAACTTTCTCATGCCAGTTGTAGTATATTATGTGTAGGTGACAAAATACAGCTTAAATTTCTCATCTAATCACTGTTGATATTGCCTACTATGTCTGTAGCCTAAACTGAGCAGCTACTGGACCTAGACTTAGCAACATTGTGCGTGCTCTAAATGAAAAAAAGAACAATGGAGTTTGTATTTTACATGCATATATAAATTGTAAATTATGCTCATAACTTTTTGCAAAACTCAGGTCTCAAGCATGGACCCACAGCACCCCCAAGGGGTGAAAACACGAATTACCACATCACCACCGTAAGGACTTGTGCTTATAAGGAACCCAAGAAACTTCTTGCTTTGTCTGCTTGATTATCAACATTTATATTATCTGTAAGCAATACTACTTGTTGTATTAATCTTGTTGTTGTGTAGTACCTAAATATTACCTGTATCTTTTTCTACTATTAAGTGCTAGAAATACGTAGAGTATAACTTTGATAACAGACAGACCCAACCATTTAATTGCTATGAGTTTAGACCATTGACCAATATGTATCCTGAATGTGGTTTTATTTTCTTTTCTTCCTTTGTTCCTTTCCTTTTATTGTCAATTTTATTTCTTCATGCATTGGGTCATATTCAGATATTATAGGCAAATATTACCTGTGTTCTTTGTCTTAGAAACATACCTGAATATCCTAGTTGTTCATTCCTTGATTTTGAAAGTTAAACCAATTTGATGATATAGGAATGTTTCTTTTTCTTTGTTTAAACTAGCTGAAACAAAGGAGGCAGTGATTCTGGGGAAGGCATTCCTAAAATTATGCACAACCAATCAGAGTTGGAAACAATGAGTAGCTAGTTAACCTTAGGTGAGGAGAACCTATCAGCACTCTGGCTCCACCTCCAAAGGGTATGGCCTCCAGCCGAGCAAAACCAGAGTGCACCGCAAATTTCGTTAGTTCAGTACAGAGTCCTGCGTTCTCAACAAGAGGATAGTTAAATTTCTAAGTTTGTGCCGGCCTTGGTCAGAAAGACAGGTCAGAAGTATTAGAACGCTAAATTTTCAGATCTGAAACCTTTGTTTGTTTTGTAACTTGCCTGTTCGTCTACACACCTTAAGTTTGAACCACCCTCAGAGAAGGAAGGTGGATATTTCTTGTCTGGCCAGGGAGAATATATCCATAACTTTCGATTCTGCTAAAGAGAGGTAGTTAGTTAAATTAGTATCACCAGCCTCAGAACTCTGATTGCAACCTGAACCTCGCCAGCGGAGTGGGAGCAGTTCTGATGCCACGGAGACCCAGCATCGCACCCAGAGCCACGCACTGATCTGTGAACAGATCGACCATCGAAAGCCTGCCCAAGCTCCACCGTCAGACGGCCACTCGTCTTGAATGTAACACTATTAAGTATGTTTCACTGAGTAAACTGCTACTACTATCCAATATGTCACTTCACTAGAGAAACAAAGTGCACTTACCAGCTTGAGTAAAGGAATCCAACAACACCCAGCGCAGCTAAACCATTTCTGGTTTTTGGGTAGATGTGTTGCTCAAGCATGACCTCACCAAGCAAAATCGGAAGAACCAGGGTATGCTGTCATACAAGGTGACTGTTATCAGTTTTTGATGCTCTGAGTAAATAACAATATCTAAAATCATAGCAACATAAATATATAGGTTCCAAAGGTTCCAAAATGGTTCTTGGTTTAAAAGCAGAGATGCTGGAAGTCTGGTTGCTGAAGGGGCTGCAGAACCAGCTCCAGATTATTACAACTTCTAAAATGAATTAAAGCATAACACTGTAAGCAGAGTATGGTCCTGGGTGTTTGTTTTAGGGTGGCATTTCCATGATCATTTTATGTTTGTTTTTATATATTTTCAAAATCTGCAGTAGCCACGCACTGTATAGGTTACCTCAGCATTTTCATTACAGCAAGCTGAACTGATTCTCTTGCTAAATACTGGCCGCTTTGGGAGTGTGCCACTAAAACACAAGCTAGTAAAGCTGTATGCAGAATTGTATGCTACTTCAGTAACACTTTACATTAAGGGCACATGATCTGCCAGCATTTAAGGCATTTACTAATTAATAATTATTCAGAGAATGAGTCATTAATCAGGAACAAATGAATAAGTTTTATATAGTAACAACCATAAGATTCAATTACTAATGCATGTACTAATAAACGAAGATGAAGGTAATAAAGGCTTTCTTCAACATCATAATTTATAAGTGTAACGTAGGAGGCACTGAGGCAAGATGCAAGTGCGAGTTGCTTTTATTTAAGTGAGATCCAACAGAGTCCAAAAACACAGTGGCAGAGGTGAGAGCAGCAGATAAATCCATGACAAGGCAACACAAAGTAAAACAGAACTAAACCAGAAACAGCAACAGGGTATATAAACAATGCAAGACAAAGGGACTGAGGAAACACAGGGGACTAACAGAAAACGAGAAATACCTGAGACCAATAAGAGGATGGGGCTAGGAGACAAAAAACAGGTGAAGACAGGGCAGACAGGGCTAACATGACAACAAAAGCACATGTCACAAGAAAACAAAGGCACATGGCAGATATACAAAAACACACAGCACTGGGAAACCAAGAAAAAGGCAAAAACAGAAAGACCAGGACAAAGAGTGAACGGATGTTACAATCAGGTATTCATGTGCTAATTAAGCATGCAAAAAGAATGTTAGTATACATTGGCCTACTGCTAGAAGCTCTGTTGGTTTCATCCTATTTATGCAATTTATGATTATCTATGTCATATTGCAATGAAATACTGTTACAATATAAATGTAAACTGTTGTGTTTATTGACTTTATTTACTGAAAATAGGCATTTGATTTAATTAAAACTGGAAATTATCTTAATATATGCCACCATTACTATGAAAAATATAAACCACCTTTGAAAATGTGTTCCCCATTATACATCTGTTATTCTTTAAAAAAAATCAATTTTTCTAATTTTTTTTAGTAATGGAAACACAGCATTTTGGAATGAAACTCTTCAGCTCTTTCTGCAGCTGGAAATTACAGCTATTTTTCTGAATTAAAGCATTTTTCTTACTTTTACAGGTGAGTTATGCATACGCATACTGGATTATATATGCAATTTACACCACAGTCATATTGTTTACACATGGTATTGCCTATTGTCTCAGTGCTGAGAGTGTTTGCTAACGTTAGCTAGTATGTATTTTCATGCCTCACATCTTTTTAGACTAATGTGTAAAACATGCAGCTGTTATCTGTGGTTATTTCTGAATTCGCTTAAAAAGTAGCTTAAACATTTGGTTTGGTGCTTACTTTTTTGCAGTAAACATTTTTTAGTTTTAAGAGTAGTAAAGAGTTTGTGTTTCTCATGAGCATTGTGTAATTCTATTAATATGTGGCGTCATACATGTCTATTCTGTTTTGTTAAAAATTAGGAAGGTTTACATGTTGATTTTAGGCTGTTTGGTTCATTTGTTGTTCCTCCTTTTACAGGGACTCTTATCCTGACAGTGAGATGACGCGCTAACAGCGCATAGCCAAGCGCTAGCCTTTAGGTGTATTGTCCCCTTTCACTTGTTCGCCATTTTTCAGTAAAGCTGAATCATGGATTCGATCTTCAACTTGTGTGAGTTCTTCTTCACCTCACGCTACAATATGAATACTTATGCGATGTTATTTAGCAGTTCTGTCCGTTTTACGGATGTTTGTGGAACAACAGAACAAGTATGTATTGGTTACTCTTCATTTTCTGTGTACTACACTGACATATTCACGTACCCTGGTTCTGTGTATTGTGTAAATGTCATAAGATGATAATACATTTTTTATTCCTTTGAATTTTGTTGATGTCCTGTTTTTATATTAACCATATTGTACTTATCATTCATCACTGTTTTTGTAAGGGCAAAGGAATGACTGTTATTGTGGTAAGTAATGATTAACCTCTGCTTTTTTGTTAGCTTTTAATCAGTAATGAAGTGTGACTGGTTCATCACTTTACTTTAGGGGGCACAAACATTATGAATCCATCATGAAAAAACAATCAGTCAGCACAACAGGAGCTTGTAAATTAGCAGTTGAGTTCAATCAGGTGTACTAGATGAGGGAAAGCATAAAAATGTGCATAGAATTAAGGATTCATAGGAGACCTTAGGACAAAGGCACTGCACTTTCCCTAACAATTATTGCCTAATTTTCAAATTTAGTGCTACGTGTAGGATAAACCATTCCCTCATGAGGCACTGTGTATCAACATAGGAGTTAAAATGTGTCATATTATTAAGATAATTTATTTAATGATTTTATAATGAACAGAAACTAGGTAGGTAGAGAACAACAAGGTAACATAAGATATCAAAAAACAATAAACTCACAGAGCTAACAGATAGAGACAGGCAAATACAAGGGCTGCGTACCCAGCAAGATGAAGCAGAAAGACAAGATGATGAGAGGATGGAGCTACAGAAAAAACACAGTTGACTTTGATAGACACAATATTCCAGAGCACTGTGCCTCAGGGGGGGTCTTGTGACAACAAACATTAATTAACACATGAATTCCTGATAAATTCAGATGTTGAAGAAAACCTTTATTACCTTTATCTTCATTCATTAGTACATGCATTAGTAATTTAATCTTGTCATTGTTAATATATAACTTATTCATTTGTTCCTGATAAATGAGTCATTACTTTCTGATTAGTTATTCATTAATAAATTCCTTTATTACTGGCAGTTCATGTACCCTTAATGTAAAGTGTTACTGCTACATCTGTGACCCAATGCTTACACACAGCAGAATTAGACCTCTGCATTTAACCCCATTGAGCTGGCGACCTTCCAGTCACAAGGCTGGTTCCCTAACCTCCAGCCCATGACTGCCCATAAGCATGTAGCGTAACTATGGCTGTGATACATAAAATAATAAAATCCACAAGCAAAATATTAGGGAACCAAATATGATAATATGTTGCGAATACAAATAATGAGAGTTAAATCAAACTCAACTTTTCAAAAAGACTACTTTTCATTTTTACTCATTCTGATATAAATGTGTTACTCCTTTTGCCAGTTTTGCTTTAATTTGTTTCTATTTGCTGATATATTTTTTGCTTCTAGAATCGCTCTTTTGCTTCTGAAATCTTTTTTTTGCTTCTGACTTTTGGCACTTTTTAACAGGAGTTAGAGTCTTAGAAGAGGTCGTTCACCTGCACTCTCTGTTGGTCAAGTGATTTGTAGTGACAGGTCTTCTGAACACATAACCACTTAGGATGAACCATCCCCAGCATGTGGAATACGCTGTACTGCTGCTATAGGTACAGCGTTTTACTGGCATATGTGACATTCTGAGCAATGTTTGTTATATTCCTTTAAATTATTAATGTTACACAGGTTTATGGGTCCTGTATCAACCCGGGTAAAAACGAAATAACTTATTTTGGGTATTGAAAAATAAACTCAGTTGTTTATGATTGAACGAAACTGCACCACCTTTCGAGTTTTCAGATGTTAGCGCTAACTAGCCTAGCAGTGTTCTCTAGGGCTAACTAGAGAACTAGTATAGTTATGCTGATAATGGAAAATTGCTTAAATATCTTAAGTTAGTTCACTGTATTAACATGAAGATGACGTGATTAACGTGACGTGAGTGATTTGGAGCAACAGCATTCTGTAAACTAGCACGCTGAGATAGCCTGTGTCAGTGACCAACACAGGCATTCTGTGGATATAATATTTCTTTTCTTTCTGAACATAGCAGTTATTCACTTATAATCAGTGATGGTGAAATATGAATATGGTTTGCATGAAAGAAATGTATCCCAATTTCCTGATGATGATTTTTGAAAAACACACCTTCTGTAAAACTGTCATGGTCTTACTGAGACTCAGAGCTGTGGTTTAGTTTGTTTGGTGAAAGTGAGCCAGGACGAGGGAACAAAAAAAGCGGGGAGGACTTGGCATCGAAGTTCAGTGGATCCTCTTTTTAATGTAGAAAATACAACTGCTTTAGCCACACTTTGCTAAAGGCTAGACAGAACCATATAACACACTTTGCTGTGTCTCTCTTTCTGTTGTGAATTTGTTGCTCTTACACTACAAACAAACGTACAGTGAAATAAGTAATCACTTTTGATTTTCATATTTAATGTACTTTCAGGTCATATATGCACTTCAAAGTTAGTGTTCAAGTTAGTATAAGCATAAACAGGATTTCATGCAACAAGTAGCAATCATTGCATGTATGTATTCATGAGCATAAACAAAATGTGTTTAAAAACTGAAATTGGTAAGGAAAAAAGTATTCAGGATTCCAAAAATTAATAACAGTAGTAATTTGTTGCAAAGTCATTGTTGGCAATTACAGCTTTGAGATGTCTATGGTAAGAAGTGATAAGCTTTTTTCAGTTTTGTGGTTCCATTTTGGCCTGTTCCTCCTGGCAAACCTTCTTGTTGGACTTGCTCCATAAATTTTTGGTGGGATTCAATTCAGGAGATAAGCTAGCATATATGCACCTTTTTTAGAAACCTTGAGTTATTTTTGGCTATATGTTTAGGGTCACTGTCTTAATGAAATGTCCATCTTCTCATTGCCCTTCACCTTGATTGTTATTTGCTGCATATTTTTTCCAAGCCAATGGCAATGTCTTTCCTAATGAGAACATTTTAATTATTTTTTTTATTTATTGTTTTTGCAGCATTAATATGTAGAACTTTTTCAACTAGTGTTGGGCAGAATGGTTGAATACTGAATATATTGTCTTCAGTGTTTTTACTAGCATATTCCACTACAACATATAAAAAGTAACATATTCAGAATATATAAACAATACCTATTGGGAGAAGGCACGTGAGAAAAACTAGCTGGTGGTCATGTTTAATTTTCGCTCTTTGCTGTTACTGATTTGCATTTTTTTGTGTAATTTCTCTGTAAATATGTTGCATGAAAAATGTACTTATTTGATTAAAGTTACTAAAGTCTTAACTAAGCAAACAATTCACCATATCCTTGGTTTGTCAAAGTAGTGTTACTTTTGAGCCTTTTCCTGGTGTCTGCAGGTCTTTCAAAGCAGCCAATCCAAAGAACACCATCTGTACAATCTAAACACACAATGTTACACAACAATGTACAATTTTGAAGAGGCACACAGTAAAGATCAGACAAACACTCCATCTTACCAGATTTATGAAAGTGAGATATTTCCATGGTCCACCATAGGCAAATATTCCATCTGGTGGATCTTGTTTCCCTTTAGTATACAGATACTGCACAACAAACGCTTACCAACCAAAGGCAGCAACATGATAAAATCTCTTCACAATGCCAGCCATATCTACTGCTCCTTTTTACAGAAAAGAAAAAGTCAATATCACACCAGAACATTCAGCACTGAAAACAGTGATGTTTCCTTAAACTTACAAGGCTTTAACAGAAATGTTGATCTAACAGCAGAAAAAAAGCTGTTCTGGGGGATTAGCTAGAGGGGAAATTCCAACTCAAACAAAGGAGCCACTATGATATAAAATCCACCCCCCCCCACCCGCCTCCGTTACAAACACTACAATTCCCATGATTCTCTGGACACTCACACCATGGACTCAACCAATCACAAGCAGTTTCCTAGATCCATGTCACCTGACTACTGAACTGCTTACACCTGTTCCTTGTTACATGCATCTGTATAAATACCTGTTTGTTTCTCATGTTCATTGCAAAAAATGTCAGCCTTACTTGTTGTATACCGAGCGGTCAATTTCCTGTTTGTACTTTCTGTGTTTATGATGTTTTTTCTTTGTTCTTGTTTTTGGATTCCCCTTTTTGGTACTGTTGTTTCGGACTGTTTGTTGTACTGGCTTTGACTCGCATGTTTTTGACCTACTCTCTTTGACTAGTGCCGATGTGTGTATTTTTGCACTTCGTTGGTCTGATCTTGCCTGCTTTTGACCACTCTATTGTTAATTCGCTTCTGGTTAATAAATATGCTTCAAACTCTTATGTCTGTGAGCATCTGGTTAGTTTGCCGTTATGGCACAAATAGAAATTGTGCACTAAAATTAGCTGAAGAAAATGCATGCTATATTTAGGTTTCTTCCCTGTAGAGGATGTGATAAATGAAAGCTTTAGCGCAAGTTCTGCCATGGAGACTCCAATGCTATGTCACTCATTACTCTGACCAAGCACAAGCTTCCACCTGTCTTTAAAATGACTTGACTTACACACCTGCTTTGCTGCTTTCAGATGCTGACGTTTTGTCATTCCCCTCCTTCCTCAATGCCGCCAACAGTTGGTCCCCACCCAGTTGCCCAGGGGTTAGGTTCCGCCCCCTCCCATCCCTATACAGCAGGATCTGCTAGGCTCTACATGTTTGAGGACCTGGGCTGACAACGGGGCCCGTGCCAAGGACTTTAACTTACAAAAATTGTTATCTATCGAATTGTTAAATATTATTGAGATTAAACTATTTTCTTTCCTTCACGTTCGTCTCTGGATTCTTTTTGGTAGGACTTATTTTCACTTGACTGGAGATGTTCATATATTTGCAAATGACTAATCATTTTTGTTTGATTTGGTAAATTTGATGTCTCTGAGAGAATGTTCGTATTGTAGAATTTAAGACACAAATTAAATTTATATAAGAATGATACATTCTTATAATATGCATTTAATCTAACAGCTGGCAGCAGGCTTCAGCAAGGGTTTCATGAACTTCATCTGCCTATGAATATATATTTACTAAAAATAAGTTAACATATCCTTTTAGATCTCAAAATGCTCCAAATGTATAGCAGTTTTGTATTTCACATGATGTCATGCTAAGTGAACACACTTCTGCATGAACTAATGCACATTTATGTTTATTTGCTGAATTTAACATATTGCGGGAAAAATAAAACATAAAATATCTGCCATGTCATGTTAAACTCCACAAATAAACAGAAATTGAGCACTAAGATTTGCCCCCCCTCCAAAAAAACTCAGTGTAGTCAGTCTTAAATATCAGTGTTATTTGCAGTTTTAATACACATGTTCACAACTGTCAAAACAAAGTCACCTCTGACTACAGTTATGCAAATGAATTTACTACATGCAATAGGTTATGAATCATTACTAAAGAAGAATGGCCTCTTAGAATGGTCACATTTAATGAAAACTTCCCCTACACACACGTGCACACACACAAAGAATTTCAAAATAACTTCCCACTTTGTCACCATGACTGTTTTAATTTTTTGTCATTGATTCTCTTCCCAGATTTTATGGTTAGGAATTAGATATTAAGGATTCTGCTTGACTGTTTTAATACTTGCTGATTGTAACCAAAGATCAGGGTTGGGATAGCTACTGAAAAACTGCTCTTTTACTGCCCTGTTGTGGACCCACAGCAGAACTAGATTTTTAAGAAAATAACATAATCCTCCTTTGCTGTAAAATAAAGCTCTGCTGATCATTAAACTGCGTTATACTGCATACAGCACTGCATTAAAAACAGACATGATTCTCTAGTGGAAATCACTGCATGGGCTCAGGAACACCTCTGAAAACCACTGTCTATGAAAACAGTTCATCATTGCATCCACAAATGCAAGTTAAAACTCTAAAACTCAAGGAAGAAACCATATATAAACAGGATCCAGAAATGCTGCCACCTTCTCCAGTGTCCTGTGGTCTGATGAATCAACATTTGAATTTCTTTTTGGAAATCATGGACACTGTGTCCTCTAGGCTAAAGATTAATCAGCTTGTTATCAGTGCACAGTTCAAAAGCCAATATTCATGATGGTATAGGGTGGCATTAGAGCACATGGCATGGGTGACATGCACATCTGTGAAAGCACCATTAATGTTGAATGATATATACATGTTTTGGTAACATATGCTGCTATCCAGACAACATCTTTTTCAGGGAAAGCCTTGCTTATTTCAGCAAGACAATGTCAAACCACAATCTGCATGTATTACAGCAGCAATGCTCTGTATTAAAAGAGTCCAGGCGTTAAACTGACCTGCCTGCAGTCCAGACCTGTCAACCACTGTAAACATTTTGCGCATTATAAAATGAAAAATACGACAAAGGAGGCCCTGAACTGCTGAGCAGCTGAAATCCTATATCAAGCAAAAATGGAAAAACATTTCACTTTCAAAACTATGGCAGTGTCTCCTCAGTTCCCAAATGCGTGTTGTTAAAAGAAGAGGTGATGAAACACAGTGGTAAACATGCCCCCTGTCCCAACTTTTTGGAACATGTTGGCATCAAATTCAAAATGGGCATATATTTTTCAAAAAACAATAACATTTCTCAGTTTCAACATTTGATTTGTTGTCTTTGTACTATTTTCAATGAAATACAGGGTTTAAATGATTTGCACATCATTGCATTTTGTTTTTATTTACATTTTGCACAGCATCCCAACTTTTTTGGAAATGGGGTTGTATAACTGCTAATTCACTAACCTTTAACGCTGAAGATTGACGCGCATACTGCTGGTCACACAGCAGCACAGACTCTCACCTAGTAGCTAACAAAAAGACAAAGAGAAAGATTTAAGACGAACATTGATAATTTGGAGACAAACAGATTTATTTGCATTTGTAAGCACTCCAGCTGGTTTCCTGATATGTTTAATCTGCAACAAGAAACTGTCCACCAAGATGGTAAAACGGACGTAAAATGTTGTGGCTCCCAAGGGGGTTTGATTTTTGCTGAAAGGACACAATGGCTCTTCTTACCATTTCAGTTGCCGACCCCTGAGCTAAGCTTACTAAGGGGTGATCAGCGCACAGGGTCAGCGTGTGACTGTTTACTCTAACTGTCTGTGGCTCAGTCAGGATTGCACAATTGCTGCTAGCCCAGTAAACGACTGCATTCTATGGCTCAAATTTTGCACAGATTGCCTGAAGCCTGTAGCGAAATTGTAGCAAAAATTAACACTATAGCTACACGAACATCTGTAGGTGCTACAGCTATTAGCTACATTTCAAAAAACTGTAGCGGCTACAGCTATTAGCTACAAAAATTTGTAGTTAGCTACAAAAAGTAGTGCGCTACTTAGCTACTCCCCCATCCCTGCCATAGATATACATACCTAGATGCCGCGTTGGGTCCAGCCAGGCACGTCAACAGCACCACCATTTTGTGGTGGTCAACATCACTGCTGGACTGCATTCACAACCATTACAGAGCAACAGAAACATGCTGTCCAAAATTATACTATTTCAAAAATATTGAACTCAGAAAGCGGGATAGGATTATATAACAGAGGCAACGCTGTGATCCACGCTCATGTTTGTATGATGCGTATTGTTTGTGTGATGTTTATGTGTAGATATGGCCGTGTGGTTGGTGAGGCACAGAGAACCTGTTGATGTGAATGTTTTTCCTCTGGTTTTATGTTAAGCTTATTTCATTTAATACAATAAATTTAATAACTTCTTACACAAACTTGAAGTTAGATTCTTATTTGCCAGCTTCTTGTTCTAATTTTCCTGTTCCATCTTAAATGGTGCATCAGTCAGCTTCTTGTTAGAAGTTTGCTGTTCCATTAAATGGTGCAGCTTCAGGCTCCAGAAAGTGATTGATGCACCATTTAAGGTGGAATGGGAAAACTTGAATAAGAAGCTGGCAAATAGGAAGTCAACTTAAGATTTGTCCTTCTTACTGTGTTTTGGGGGGTTTATTTTATTTTTATGTGTTTTAAGATTAGAAGTGATTCTCACATTGATGGATTTGCTGATGTGTTTAAGATTATGTTTCTACCGGAGCTTGCACTACACTCGGTTTTTAACGTCAGGTGCAGACTCAATACTAGATTGATCTATGTCTGAGGATTATAACAAAACAAATTTGGTGAAAATCGGTTGAGTAATAAGGAAGTTGTGGTCAATTTAATCCTGAGAACTCAACGTCTCTCAATGTAAAAGAATTTGTTCACAAGCGGAACTTGATCGCTCCAACATGGCAAATGTGCAAACGTATCGCCTCAGATAGAGAACAACAGACAACGCGGCACCTGGATATGTATATGTATGGTTGTAACAGTGGCAGATGGAACCAAACACAAGAAAACAAGGATTAGGTGGAAATGATCAGTAATCCGGTGATACTGAACGGTGTGGATCTGTGTGAGTCTTGGGTCACGTGTTGCAGCGAGGGGTTCTGGGAAATGTAGTCCTGAGCAGCAGAGTTGGCTGTAGGCTCAGCCAGGTCTGAAGAAGGTGTGACAGTGGTAAACTTTGTTGGAAGCAAATGTTCTTGATTCATTTAATAATCTTTATAGTTGTGCAGTTTTTTCAAGTTCAGTAATCTTTATGTAGAGAGTTTTCATTAAAAAGGCTAAGATTTTTTGACAAGACTATATCTCCTTTTCATGTGCTGAAATGGAAATAATTATGCAGATGACAGAAAAACTTAAGGTTACGGTTACAGTTACAGTTACGGCTGGTCTGG